TCTGTATCAGAAATTTTGACAATTAAAAGATAATAAAAAATTATGCCATCTTTATCATAGGCAACACGTTATTTAATGGTGAATAGGGTTGAAAAGGCTCTGATAATCAATGATACATCTTATGTTTGGTCTATAGTATGTTCCTCCTTTGTGTGGGAGCAATTCACATTAACTTTCCTGTGCTGAGTAAATGTTGAAACAGTGTCATTTGAGAATTCAGGGAATGAACACACTGCAATAATCACTTGAATTAAACTACAAAGCAGAAAGTGTCTGTCTGAAGAAATGTCTACTGACATATAAACTGCTGTTCACTGCTGAAAGACAACCTCACAAAGCCTGAAAATGTGAGTTCCATGTGTCTAGGTGGAGAAGGGGTGTTATTTCTAAAGGACGAAAAGATCATTTTTCAAAGTCGTTTCCTGAAATGAGTGTGCCTCTGTTGATGGATCACATCAGAGTTAGTCTTTGAAGCTTTAAGAATAAGTGAGAACTTATGTGAAAAACAGATTTTTTTAGTGGCCGTTGTGTTGGCAATTCTTGGAAAGATTTCCCTCCCCTGCTTTCCAGAGCTCAGCTGAGCAGGTGTTCGGGCTTTATCTATTTCAGACAGTAGCCGCTATTACTCCCCCATCCCCGCCTCTCAAGAGCCAGTTTTCCTGCTTCCAGATGTAAGGCCACTCCTCCCTCCCGCCCATCTCACCTCCCAAAGGAAGAAAAATCTCTTTCAAAGAACTTGTAGACAGGGGCAGCTTCTAAGCTCAGTCAATTCACTCACTCCCTTGATGTTGTAGTACATCTGCTACTAATTATTATATCTAGGAGCACTCGAGATGTCCAGCAAATAGGGGGATTTCCATAGGGACTCTTTCCACTCCTCCTCACGTCGTGGGTTTTATTATCTGAGCTGTCCCTGACCTAGTAGTCCTCACCTTCTGCCTGTGTGCTGGGAGGTGACTACGTGCTGCGCCATGGAGCGGTGGCTAGTGCGCAGTAGCAAGGAGGTCAGAGCGCATCGGAGGGAAGAACTTGCCTGTGAAGCCTTTAAAGAAAGCCACTCTACTGACATGCTTAAAAGAAAAGCTAGGTCGAAACATCTGAAGGAAAGAAATGGCCTATATCACATGCTTAGCTCCTCCAACACGACTAGCTTGGAGAAGCTGCTCAAGAGTCTGGGAGAAAGTTTGGGTTAATGTCCGAACAAAGACATGCATGGAGTTCTAAATGCCAATTCAGATAAGCACTGAAAAATAACTCGACCTTGAAGATTGGAAACAAGTGGTATCTTGAGGAGTGACCACTTAGCAAAGATGCCAAAGCCTCCCAAACTACAAAAGGGACTGCTAGCCCAGTACCAGTAGCGTCCCGAGCCCCAACAGAGCTACTTTCTACCCCCATGCTGTCCCAGAAGCAGGGGTCAGAGCAGAACAGGAAGAGAGGGAGGCTACTGTAACAAAAGCAATGTTCAAGTACCGAGAGCTGCAGTAGTTTAGAAGGGAAACTATTGGGGGCCACACCCCCGCAAATGGAAAGACGGAAAGATCCTGCCTTTGCCCTCACCAACTGCAAGCAAAGCGAGCACGCAGCTGCGGAGACACAAAGGTGCCTCATTTACATAGAGGAAACCTACTGTGCCTGGGGAGAGGCCCGGCTGGAGGCTTCTCAGGCACCTGGAAAAGCTGGCTCTGAGAATGACTGATGTGACCTGGAGTGGGGAAACAGTCTCTGACCGTCCAGTATCCACTTTGTCCCCTGACATTGTCTCCCTAGGTGAGCGTTGCCAGGATCAAAGACAGGAAACAGCCATCCACTTTGGAGTTAACTTTTAGCTGACCATAGATAGGTCCTTTCCCTCACTGCCCTGAGCTATCTTAAAGCTGAAGGAAAGCACCCTAGGGTCAGCGCTCCAGAGACCTTCTCTCCGAGATGTTTGCTTCCCGCGAAGAGGAGCAGGCCCGGGTGTGAAGCTCAGTGAGAGCCAGTAAGGGTGGGAGGGGTGTCCCCGGACAGAGGCGCTCCTGGGCATAGCTACGTAAGTTTTCTTGGGCACGAGAGAGGAGTCACTGTGCCAAAGTGTTGCTTGCTTCACGAGAGTGCATTTGCCAGCATGTGTGTACGTGTGTATGAGAGAGAGAGAGAGAGAGAGGGAGAGAGAGAGAGAGCGTTTTTTGTACCCGTTAGACCTTCAGCAACTCAGCAAAGGTCAGCACCTTGTGCTGACAGCTCCCCAATCCACAGACTTTGATAGGAGGGCTCAGGGTCAGGGTCGAGTTACAGCCCTTGGGCAGGGGTGTGTGTGTGGTGCAGCAGGAGGTTGTTAAGGGGTAGTAAGGACAGCGTAGAGCCCTTGAGGGTGGTTTTCCACCACCAACTGGAAGGGGGGCTGGGGCAGCCTCCTGGTCACATTCAGCAGTTGCCATGGCACCCAGGCAGAGTTTCTGGGTGGTTGGCAGCTCCTAGTCAAGCCCAGTTGGTTGGGGAGGTGGGGAAGGGACTGGTTGCCACCTCTTCAGCAGAGACAGTGCTTCTCACCCACACCTGGCAGGCCACTGCCCAGAAACCCCAAACCCTACTCTTACAAGGCACGAGGCTAAAGATGAGGCTCTGGTTGGCCCTTTGAATCAAAGTTGAAAATAACCTTACTCAAGAGTGGCTTATACACACTCAACCAGCCATCCAGTCCACTCAAAACATGTTTTCCCCAGGAGAAAATAAAACTCCCACCAATGCATCCAAATAGCCCAAGCAGGGAAATAGTCCAATGATTACAATATACACAGTCCTTCCCCATAACTCAGGTGGATAGCAGAGAAAACCAATCTCCACGTGGAAGATGTTTGAAGTTAATGGAGAAAATAACAGGTTATCTAGAAACTGGGCCATTGGTTTAGGGTATCTAGGCACTGGTGAGAAGGTCTTTGCCTACTCTCCTATTTCTTAAGGACATTCTTAGTAAGCATTGGTCTAGGAAAAATATATTTTTGTGTGTGTGTCAGCTCTTTTGGAGAGCTGTTACACACTCTGCTACAGTCGCCAAGATTTTTAATATGAAGATATGAAATGATCAGCGAATGTAACAATCTAATGATTCAGCAAATATTGTGCTGCAAGACCAGAGGAGCAATAATTAAATCTTTTGAGTACTGGTGGCAGTTTTTCGGCTCCAAGTCTTCTTTTTTTTTTCCCACCCAGTCCACAAGCAAACACACTAAGGCACACTCGTTCACAAACACATTTCAGAAGATACCTCAGTATTCCAAATAAGTAGGTTGTCCTACTCAAAATATTGGGCAAAACTACCATACCGTAGCATTTGCCATGCTTGAAGGAGAACAGCTGAACACACACACACATTTCCAATGATACAGAGACCTGTTTAATCTCATCGAAAGAAACAAGCATTCCTGTGGACTCTTGTTGCTAAGAGCAACGTGCTTAAGTACCATCTAAAGGCATGAAGCAAAAAAAAAAAAAAAAAA